TTTTTTAAAAAAAAAAAAAAAAAAAAAAAAGATCCTTTAAGGTAAACAAAGCCTCGACGTTCTTTTGAAGAGTTTCATCTGTCGGAATCATGACAAAAGGCCATAAAATTGGGTGTGACTTACTTGCTTAGCAATGGAAATGCTGGTCCCAATAGTGGTCATAAAGGGAAGACAACGAACATGCACATGCATGCTCATATATGTAGATGTGGCCCTTGATATTCACAGGAATTCCCTTTCAGATAATGCTGGAGTCTAATAAGTCCACAAATAATTGGACATGAACAAACACACTTTACCCATGTATAAAAAAACTGTCTAAAATTTTCAGCATGCATAACATATACCAAAATGGACTCAAAGGAGTGAATGTGTAAGGCTTTTCAGAGGTCACATAGATATTTCCAGACTATGGTTATTTGCAACTGCAGATAATGAGATTGTAAATAATAAGGGCTTGCCAGAATGTATGTACATACACTTTCCTAAAGTCACACTACAAAAAGAGAGCAAGGCTAAAAAAAATTATAATGGATTTAATAACTGGCAATTAAAATTAATTGCCTGTAAAATAAGGTGTCCCATTTTGAAAAATACTTGTTTCCCTGTTTGCACATACTGTTCTCCCTCGCTTATACACACACAAATTCTTTTCTCCCATACGAGAAACACACAAATATTCCACCTTTCAGCAGCAAGTACGAAAATAGTGAGCCAGAAAAAGGCCGGAGATTGAATGAGACTGGAAAGACGGATGAAAAGAGAAAGAGGCGGGAGGAACAACACTTCATGGAAATAAAGTGAAGGGGAGAATCATTTTTCAGGAGAGAAAAGAGAAAGGAAGCAAGAAAACCCATATTCATAGGTTTGTTGTTGTTGTTAGTTGCAAAGTCGTGTCCGACCCATCACGACCCCATGGACAACGTTCCTCCAGGCCTTCCTGTCCTCTACCATCTTCTGGAGTCCATTTAAGCTCACGCCTACTGCTTCAGTGACTCCATCCAGCC